GAACTGCTGCTGGTGCTGCTGGAGCTACTGCTGGTGAGCGAGGCGCTAGACGAAGTGGATGTGCTTGTTACAGACATTGTGTAAGTTGTCGAGGTCGTGGTGGGTGACCCGATACAACCAGAGGTCGCCGCAGACACCGCTTCCATTGTATCCGCCGTGAATGTAAATGACCTGGTTCGTGCCGTCCCAGGCAGCCACGTGAGACCAGCGTCCAGAAGGACCAGCATGTGCAGCTATCAGACTCCATGTGTCGCCGATCGAGTCGTATCTCCAAAGGTCTCGTTGGAAGACACCGTCGTTGCCGCCGTGCAGCCAGAGAACGCGCCCTGTGGCATCCCACACTCCCGCATGTCCCGATCTCGCCGTCGGACCTCCGCCAGCTAAGACTGGTACCCAGCTGAGAGTGGAAGCATCCAAAGTCAATTTCCAAAAATCTCCCAACGGAGAGTCATTGTAGCCACCATGCATCCAGAGCGTCTGGCCTGCCCCGTCCCATGCCGCCACATGATGCGAGCGGGCTGGTGGAGCCCCGCCTGGTGCCAGCGGTTCCAATTTCTGCCAGCTGTGTGCATGTGTGTTGTAGCTCCACAAGTCTGACAAACGCTTCGTGCCCGTCCAGCCACCATGCACCCAAAGAGAGGAAGTGCCCGATATCCAAACTGCAACGTGCGCCTGCCTTTCGCAGGGAGCGAAATCATCGTTGTACTCAAGGCTCCATGTCCCTGATTGGAGCTTCCAAACATCTCGAAACCAGGTCGCTGTTTGGCTGCTGTGCCCGCCATGCACCCAAAGCGCCCCGTTGGTAGAATCCCAGTCTGCAGCATGCAAAGCACGTGCTGCCGGCGAGCCGCCATTCATTGTCTGGGTCCAGGTTGCAGACGCCGCGTCGAACGACCACAAGTCTCCTTCGAGGTTGCTGCCGGCATGGATTAGGAGCACTTGCTCTTGCTCATCCCAAGCGCCGACATGCTCGGAACGTGCCGCCGGTCGGAGGGGGGCTGAGGCATCGGACATGTCCGCCAGGCGGTTCCACTCTCCCTTGGCGCTCCAGCAGAAGCAGAGCAGCCGAACGACATGACATATCATGACATGCTCGCATGAGGATGCCTACCAACACTACATGCAATTATGGTGCGTCAGTGCTCAAAGCTTTCTTGCAGCAAGATACGCATAACCAGTCCTGTCTCTGCAGCATATGGCTTGTTACCGCCCACTTCAATGGCCCAAAGTTTTGCTACCGCCAATCCTTGGGATGAGGCGGCTGCTCGAACCACACCACAGTGAAATCCAAGACAAGCTGCCTTGCACAGCAAGCCACAAAGCGGCACAGAACGTCTTGTTACACTCAAGGACAAAATGCCTTAAGGTATGGCACGGATTGCTCAGCGAATGGTCTTCAAGTATGTGGGTTCATGTCACTGCGTGGTGCGGCCAGTCCTTCCTAAAGAGCAAGCCAACAGTTCGTGCAACCTCGCTCGGGTTTCACAAGCGCCGATGTCGCTTCTCTGGTCGCTTGTGATCTTGCAGATTATCTATCTTTGGTGCATTCACAACTACTTGCGCCCTTGCTGCTGCAAACTGCTTCCGAAGCACCTCTCAGCAACTATTTTGATACTGGCGGCTGATGAATCCCCACCTGTAAACAGGAGGTGAGCCTGCAGACGTGTCTTTGGTCTGCCCGGCAAGTTTCGGGCGTAAATCAGCCGTCCCTTCGTTAGCGCTTCGGAGAGCCTCTTGGAGGACTCCCGCCTCTCTGCTTCCAATCTTCCATAAAGAGCGGTGGACCGAAGGTCCATGCCGGTGTGCTGTTGTGCCGCGAGCCATGTGGCGAGAGATCCTGCCCGGAAGAGCTGTCATGTGGAGGGGAGGCGTTGGACGGGTGTGGATGGGAGTGCAAGCCGGGGGACGTCTGTGGGGAGCCGTTGGACCGGTGTGGACGGGAGTTCGAGCCGGGGGACGTCTGTGGGGAGCCGTTGGGCCGGTGTGGATGGGAGTGCGAACTGGGGGACGTCTGTGGGGAGGCGTTGGATCGGTGTGGATGGGAGTGCAAGCTGGGGGACGTCAGCGGGGAGGGGGCCGATCGCCGTCCGTCTTGGCTGTCGCAACGGCTTAATCTGGGGCCGTCGGAAGGGGCTTGGCCGCCTCTGCAGGTGCAGTGTGGGCAAGGCAGCTGTGTGGAGAGAGGTGCAGGTGAGGGTGCAATGGGCTTCAATGGCTCGAGGGTGCCTGGGCCTGGGCTCACCTGAGCCACTGGGCGCTGTACTTGAGCTGGCAGCTTGGGCCTTGGTTTCAAGTGTGCTTGGGCTGGGTCGGGCACCCAGAGCCCCAGAAAGCGGCTACGTGGGGTTAAGCTGATCGGATCCCGCAACACCGGCCTGGCCAGCCTGCATGGCAACTGCTCGACATGGACCATGCGTGATCGCGGGACCAGCTCCTTCCGTGGAACGCTGCCTGGCACGACCTTCAGCCTAACAGTAACACATGTCGGACCTGTCGGACCTATCCTGGGAGTCCGAGTCCTAGCAGTGCTTTCAGAGCGCTGGGCAGGTGGCTCCAGCCTCGTAAAGCTGGGAGCCAGTGGACTGGGCTGTCCTGGTATCGCCCGCCTTGCCTCCAGGGGACCTGGCAAATCCGGGAGGTAGCTCTTCTCCCAGGCACAATGAGTCTGCATGTACGTACATGCGTGCCGCATTGGGAGGAGCAAAGCAGGTTCATTCGGCATCGATGGTCGCTCTTCCATCTCTCTCCGAAGGATGTACACTGCATATGCTGTCGAAGGCCAACCTGGTGGCGGCTGTGGCACGAGCTCCACGCGCGGCTGGCTGCGCGGACCCCAAACAGTCACTGGCGGGGTGCTTGGTGCACGGATAGCTCCGGCCTGCTGAAGAGGCCGTGTCGGGGCAAAAGTTGGAGGGGGTTTGGATGAGAGTACGCGTGGTATGCTGTCTTGTGGAACAACTTGACTTCGAGCTGGCAGGCATTCGCTCGACTGCCTGGGCGAGCCGCAGGGTGGCAGATCCGGCAGGATGGGTGATGGCTGCGGCTCGTGCCCCTCTTGTCGTGTAATGGACACCTGGGACAGGAAAGCTGTTGACTCTGGAACCAACCACATCCTCGGAGAAACCGGTGAAGCACCCTGGAAGTGAACAAGAACAACCAGCGGAGCACGTGGTGATCTGCAAGGTCCCAGCCGTGCAAACACGGGGGCATCCTGACTCCTTCGAGCTCTCCTCTTCTGGAGCAACTGTGGCTCCCGCGGCCGGTCTGTGTAAGACACGAAGGGCTGGATCGCCTCAAGGCTGGAAAAGCTGCACACAGCGCCCAAAACCAGAAGGATTACACCGATAAGGGCAGCCGGAAGCCAATTCGGCCAAGGAATGGGGATGCAAAACTCGGTTGTGCTGGTGGTCGTAGCTGTCGTTGAGGTAGAAAACGTGGCTGTCGCTGTGCTGTGGGTGTTGCTCGTGCTCGATGACGAAATGCTGCTTGAGGTCGTCGTGTGGGATGTGCTAAATGTCAAGGTAGAGGTTGTGCTCCTGGTGGTGCTGGAACTTTGGCTGCTGGAACTGCTACTTGATGAACTCGAGGTCGTTGAACTGGAAGTAGATGACATGCTCGTGCTGGATGTTCCTGTTCTCGATGTTGTAGCTGTCTTGCTCCTGCTGCTGGAGCTGCTGCTGGTTCGTGAGATACTGCTGGAAGTAGAAGTTTGGCTGCTTGACGTGGAAGTCAAGCTTGAGGTGTGTGTCGTCGACGTCGTGGTGACGGAAAACGACCAGAGGTCCCCGCAGACACTTCCATTGTATCCGCCGTGAATGTAAATGACCTGGTTCGTGCCGTCCCAGGCAGCCACGTGAGACCAGCGTCCAGAAGGACCAGCATGCGCAACTATCAGACTCCATGTGTCGCCGATCGAGTCGTATCTCCAAAGGTCTCTTTGCAGCACTCCGTCGTTGCCGCCGTGCAGCCACAGCACACGCCCTGTGGCATCCCACACTCCCACATGTCCCGATCTCGCCGTCGGACCTCCGCCAGCTAAGACTGGTACCCAGCTGAGAGTGGAAGCATCCAAAGTCAATTTCCAAAAATCTCCCAACAGAGCGTCATTGTAGCCACCATGCATCCAGA